GGGGGGGGGGCAGGGCTCCCACACACGGCGTGGCCGACACGCATCGCCACGGCCTGTTTGAGGCCAGTTAGCGCCGGCCGGGGCGTGGCGACAGCAGGACAGGCGCGCGAGCACACCGTGGTGGTGGCTACCGCAGAGAGGGGCCCGCCAGCTGCCAGTCTGGCATGGTTTATCATCACTTCCTGCTGTCCACGGCTCTGATTCCTTTTCCCGATATCGTCCATAAATCTGAGCCCAGCCCCCCCCCCCTCTCCCCCTCCCACACGTACGGCCCCGCGGACCCCGCCCCCACACCGCCCCCACACGCTTTATCGCAACGACAACAACCAATTTTCTTTTTTCCACGCGGGTTTATCGTCATTTTTCTCCGGTGTACAATAATTGACACGGCACTTGACACAATCTCCGCCCGCTAGAGGGGCGAACACGACTGACAAGAGCTTGACATGTTGTACTCGTCGCGCCGACCCGCCGCGCCCCGCCACGCCCGATAGCGATATCATGGAGGAGATTCAGCGTTTTCATCACGAGGGATTAACGACCGTCGATAACGCCAAAGGGATTTCGCTCACAAATCTGATTGGAACGCGGTGGAGTCCGGCGTGTGAAAGTCTCGGCTAGAGCCGGCCCGGCATATACTGATTTCCATTTTCTTGTTCCTCTCGATTATCTTTATTTCACCTTTACCGGAATGGTATATCCTCAAACTGCAACCGTTTAAAAGCAGACGCATTGCTGTGCTGGTGAATTGCGTTTGTAAATGTTACGACCCCTTTTTAGAGAGGCAGTGGGGCGGCCTGCGGTAGGGACGACCGCCCGCGCGTCCTCGCGATGCGTGCGCAGCTGGCTGGCTGTCGCTCCGAGGGGCACAAGTCGGGCGGGACTCGCACTGCGAACGCGACCCTTTTGTAATGCCAATGAATATTCAGCCGCAGGCGCGCGGCCGCGGCCGGCTGGGCCGGCACCGGGGCGGGTAGGGCCGCGGGGGCCGAGGCCGGCCGGCCAGGCGAGCGGGGGTGGACGCCGAGCCGGCCGAGGCCTCTGCGCGAGGCGGGTGGCGCCCATGGGAGACCTCTGCCAAAAACACGAGACTGTATACGCCCGCCCACCAAACGTAATTGGAAATTCAGCAGCAGGGGCGCGGCGGTCTGCTGCGGTTGGGACCCTACCTGAATGGGGAACCTGCACCACCCGCACGCCAGCCGGACAGGCAGGGCTGGCGCTGGCACCAGCCGGAGCACAGGTGCCAGAGTGCCAGCGCCAGCCAGCCAG